CTATGTTTCCTTAATATAAGATTCATATAGGATAGAAAGCAAAAATCTAATTTTTAGATGCACAAAAATAATTTTATTGTTGACTATGATGGACCTTGGGAAAACCTATTCTAACTAGGGATCTATACATACTTTTCAATCTTGGAATTTGGTTTTTGAGGATTGAGCAGCACCCTGGGAAACAATGAAGAACTTGGAACTGCCTTTTCCACAAATCTGCTTTCTCTTTATTACCGATATGGACCTTTCACTCAACTTTTACCAAGTGACCCATTCTAGTACCAGTGAAATTACACGGGGTGGAAGGTCAAGGGAATATAAGCTGTGATTTTATGTATTTGGTGGTCAAAATAGATCACCATTGGCCTCCCCTGGTGGCACAGGCAGCGCTGTGAAGCTGTCCACAGCCTCTGCAGCGCCGGTTCGATCCTGGCTGGGAGGCCGGCGAGGGTCCCACATGGCACGGCAGACCTCTCCTGTCTTGCCCGCTGCTCCCCTCAGCAGTGTATTTTGTCAGTCTGCCTGTTCTGTTCCCCACTCTGTCTCTGGTGCATTCTCTCACCCTCCCACGAATCTGGCCTGTACCCCAGTTCTTGTATGAATAAATATATCTTTAAAAAAAAAAAACAAAATAGATCACCATTGATGCAAGTATCTATCATGGACTCTTATCAGAATTGATTAGCAAAGAAATATTTGCTATTTCAAGAAGTCAAAAATACGCTTTGGGCAGCAATCCTGCTGCCCACCTGTGAATATCAGGTATTTGTCTTTGCAAACCTGCTCCTTTCAGGAACAGCCTTTCTGTCCTTTTATGTCAATGCAAGTACCCTTTATTCTTTTCTCCCTTTGTAAAATAAACTTGCCCTTTTGAATATAAAAAAATACACTTTGCATTGCATATTTGATATGCATAGCACATATAAACATAAATGACTGAGAAGTTTTGCAATGAAAAAAATTATTTTTGATTTACCTAATGCAGTTTAGATTTGACCACAGAATGTCTTTGTTTTTCTTAAAACATTTACAACATAGCAACCCAGGGTATAGTGTTTCTTGAAATATGCTTAGGAAAATGCTTTGGTAAATAATTTTTACATTACTGGTTCTTGGGAGGGTGGGAGGAAGTAGTGGTGGTGTTAATTTTGACCCCTTAGAAACATTTGGAAAACGTCAGACATATTTTGGTGGTCATACTTGGTGAATGTTATTGGCATGTAGTGAATGATCTGGCCCCAAATGTCAACATTCTAGCCTAGATATGGTTTGCTCAGATGGGACTCAGTGATCTAGAGTTTGTATGGTAATCGGCACTGTGTTTTCACCAGCTCTAATTTGATTTTGGTGAGGCAAAAATATTTATTCTCTATGAACTTAAAGGCTATAGATAATATTGTCTCTAATTTGAGCTCTGAATATCTTAAGTCAACACTGACAGTGTCTCAGTATCTTGTTACTGGCAAGTGGTAGGTATTTGTTGCTATTTCAACTTATGTTCTTTGAAGCTTTCCAGGACATGTATTATACAACTTGATTATGCAGTATTTAAGTAGTATATACGTTTATACATGCCTATGTGTTTTTTTAAAAGCAGTATTAGACATTATGCTTTATATAATCTCAATTCTCAGCAATCTTAAATCCCAGCTCTTTACAGATAAGGAAACTCAGTTTCAGAGACTGAGACCCAGCAACCAGTTCAGGCTGGCCAGGACAAGAATCCAAGTCTCTAAAACTTCCAGTTCAGTCCTCTTTCCAGTTATTTAGCATCATTATACTGCTTTCATTTTCATATATAGTTTTACTATGTTACATGAAAGAATAATCAACATGAAAAATATTCATGAATTCAATTTGTTAATTTTCCAACTGTTTGCATTTATTCTAAACTCTTAATTTGTGCCTGTGACTGGATAGAGATTTCCACCAAATGTCAGCAAAAAGACATTCTTAGCAGTTGTTTTCTTACAATCTTTGTCAGTCACATACATATTTAACTAAATCAGAAATAGTAGATATAGAAGTACAAAAGAAATTCTTTCCTAATGCTAAACTTACCATATTAAAACAAATGTGCAGAAATTTATGATCACACTTAAAATCAACTAGTAAAACAAGTAAACACATCAGTGACAATTTTTTTATCAAATTTGGGAATACATAGCAAATTAAACCTACTGAGAGTGATTCTCCAGCCTTAGACTAATTTGGAGATCGACTCATTCCTTTAATCCAGATGAATTTGTGGAAATTCTCTTCTATATATGTCAAAAGTCAGTTGAGCTAAATGAATACCTATTGTAGACAGCTATATTTGCACTTCACAAATATCCTTGCAATTCGAAAGCCCAAAGAAGTTATCGGTCTATTTCAGTAGAAGACTACAAAATATTTCAAGACTATGATTACAATAACATATTTTTGTCACAGCAAATACTTATGCTGTAAGAAATTACTAAAACCTACTTAAGATTAGTAACCCTCTCCATTAAAATATGGACTTCTAATGTTTGCACTCAATATTTTACTATTTGCCCATTTCTTTTATCATTCAGTAGGAAGCAATGAGTATGATATATGTCCACTATGCTTTTGATCAGTTTTCAAAAGATTGTGTCCACAAATATTGACCATAATTACTGTTGAAGATTTAAATATTCAGAGTTTGTCTTTAAGTTATATATGTTAGTTCAAGTATAAATGGAAGGTCAGTTAACATCAGCAGTAAAGACAAGCAGTCTACTCTATGAAAATTGTAGTAGCTACAATCAAAGGCATAATGAAATCAGAAGAAAGTTCATACTGAGTTATGGGAACATTTGTTAAACTGCAGAAAATCCAAGTGTACTTATGAACAAGACATGCCATTTCCATGATCCTCTACACATCACAAATTATACCCTAACACAAGAAAGCATTTTAAAAACTTAATGATAACCAGAAGTCACTTCCCCTCTACTCATTATCAGTCAGATATCCTTTACTGAAAACAATTTGGCTATGGTTGCAGCTATGGTAGTTTAAAAAAAAAAAAAGCCATTGTAAAACCTATCACTTTAAGCCAGTCAAGATCTGTTTGCAAAATATAATCAAGTATAACTTCATGATTCAATAAATAGTATCTAAATCTATTAACGGTTTTCATTTTCTTTTCTATACTTCCATTTCCATTTTCTCACTGGTAGCTATTCTGACTATTCAAATGTCATTATTGCCCTTTATTGTTATTCAAATTAAGTTTTTTATTAGCTCCTCTGACACTATATATAAACTTTTGCTTCTTCACCAGCATTAATTCAATTTCTGAAGGAAAATGAAAGCAATTGCATAAAAAATTCTGAGCTTTTACTCTGTTAAGTCTGTGCCTGAAATTGGATTTTAATTTAATCATATTGGAGAAGACCAAAAGGTTTTTTTTAAACTACCTTATGAAAGTAGGAAAATAGACTTTTCCATGCAGATTTGCAGGATTGTGAGTTCAAAGACCTGAGAAACATTTACTACTTCTCAATGATGTGTTTAAGACACACTTACTGACCAAAGTAAAATGAATTTCTTGCATAAGAGGATATTTTTTGCTATATTTCCTCTTGTAAGACAAGGAAGCAAAATATTCTCACATATAGGTGTGAGAAAATATTACAACTCAGTTAAATAATCGTATAAATATTCATGGTAGTGACTCTATAGAAATATCTAACTTAAGAAGCACACCACCATAAACACATTGTGGTTGTTTTTGTGTCATATACCGGCTTTATAAAAGAAAACAGTATCAAAACCAAGTTACAGTTCTCAAAGCAAATCTAACAAACATTGCACTAAGTTGTATAAAGTTAAGTGGTTTGTGTGTTAGTGGCAATCAAACTTCAGATACACACTTTTGTTGTATTTGCATGTATGGAAATAGAATATTATCTATTTTTAAAATCACAGATTTTGGTTTTTTCCATGAGGAAAACTAGTGTACAAACAGAACAAATGAAAATATCAGGTACTTTACCCAAGAACTGTTAATTCCTTGGGAAGTCAAATTTCAGTGTTATTAGAATTTCTTACAAGGGATAGAAATAAGGGGCAGCAAAGGTAATGGATTTGGATGAGATTGGGCAAGAAAGCCACAATGTTAGCAAATATTTGACTGCCATCTCTGTGTACAGAGAAAACTAACTATTCCATGCCATGAGAGCATAAGAAATAAAGGATTTGGGGGAATTATTGACCCTTGGGAGATAAAGCTAATTATATGAATTCCAGTGTACTATGAGGTATCATGTAATTAAGCACTAGCATATTTATTCCAGATAAAAAGAGCTACAGGAATTTAGAAAAAGAAATTCAGATTTGATATCAGCACCTATGAAGAACATGACCCCAGGAAACATAAAGATTTAAATGCTAATATCAACAACCATTTCACCAGTCTCAATTGGCCAAAAAAAAAAAAAAAAAAAAAAACACCCAGGGAATAAATACCTGTAAATATAATTTTTATGATAATTACTTTTTCCAATCCACCTGCACAAATGTTCTAACTATCTTTCCTTATTTGGAGTCAGAATCTAGCATACAGAACAGAAACTCAATATCGGAGACCTTTACAACAACATTCTTAAAATATTTCCCCTTTTAATATGAAGAGAAGCAGGAATTCTAAGAAAAATTGTTCTACCTTTTAATTACAGAAAAATAATCTAAGCACTCAAGGGTTAGAATTTAGGTTCTTGTTTCCAAAATACATCATATAACCGCAGACACATTAATTTATTGTACTTGACAAGTGTCACAACTTCCGCCACCCTTTCAGCTGAGTAGATTTTTTAGTTAAGGACAATTTTGGCACAGTTGCTTTATTTTAATTAAAGGAATACAGTTCCCTAGGTAAGTACTGGTGGCTCTTACCCCCAAGGCAGTTTTTGGTACCAAGTGAAGAAAACAGACAATTTTGCATTTTCAAGATCAAGGCTGTATGAGTTAAGGCCATAGATTTCACTCACCTACAGAGACTTCTATGTTGCTCCTGAAGTTGAGTTAACAGATGCTCAATGTATTTGTTGGAGTCCATGTATTCCTGCAAACGGAGATATGAAGATAAATAAAACCTCATTAATATAGTCACCAAAACTGTAAGACTAATTCTGCAAAGAAGATTTTGGACAAGATAATATTTTAGCCACCCCAGTTCTAAGAGACCATGACTATAAATTACATGCATAGTCACTTAGGGATTAGTAATATGTTTTTTTAAAGATTTATTTATTTATTCATACAAGCACTGGGTACAGTCAGTAGTGCAGGAGGGTGAGAGAATTCACCAGAGCCAGAGCGGAGAACAAACAGGCAGACTGACAAAATACACTGCTGAGGGGAGCAGTGGGCGGCAGGAGAGGTCTGCGCGCCATGTGGGACCCTCGCCCTGAGGCCGGGGATCGAACCGGTGCTGCAGAGGCTGCGGGCAGCTTCGCAACCCAGCGCTCAACCGCTATGCCACTTGGAGGCCCAGAGATTAGTATTATTTTACCCACACTCTATAATCATTCTCTCAAGAAAACACTAAAGATAACTGAAGTTCTAGAGAATCATAATTAGGATCTCACAGAAAAGCTAATTTTCATATTTGTCTACACTGGGATCCATGTTCTAATGTAAAAGGGAACTAGTGCTGCTAGAAGAGTAAGAATAAAGTATACGATATAAGTCTTGATTACACTGGCTTTATTAGTATCATTTTTGAGCAAAACAATTTTTGAACAACAGAATGCTCTATTGGGCATATTTTTGTACTGAGAAAACACATGGCCATTTGCCTTAATCTTCTTACATATATTAAAAGATAAATTCTTTCTGACTCTTAGAAAATAAATCTGACTTTAGAAGACAGGGAAGACAAGGGATATCTTGCTTAAAATATGTGTAGATCTTTGTATAGCAAACCATATTTTCAAGAAACTTAACAATGAGAAATTGTTTTGTCTCATGAGAATTACTTGTATAAGTTACAAGATACTAAATTTTAGTTGAAAAATGGTCATTTATGAATAAGAGATTTGTACACAAATGTTTTGATTATGAACAAAATACAATGTGTAAGAATTCACATAATTTTTACCTTGGAGTGGATGGTTTTCCTTTTAATTTGAGGCTCTGCCCTGAGACTTCTGTGTTTACATTTCCCCTGCCTTCCTGGAATACTGTGCAATGATTTCACTATTAAGGCAGCTATAAAAAGTTACTGTTTCATTTCCTATGGATATGAGATTATTTTAATTTTAATTAATATTAACTCTTTATTTGAAGTACAAATTTATTTTGTTTAAATACTATATATTACTTCTATAAGGATTACTCATTATAAGTTTGGACAAGTGCAAGAATTGTCCTGCTATAATGAGAAGGGGCCTATCCTGCATTTCTAGACCTAAAGCTACATATGCAGGTTTGGAGAAATCTTTTTATTTACCTTTCCAGAATATTTCAGTTAGACTAGAGGGCATATAAAATCTTCATCTAGCTAAAACTATTAGGATTCTGTAATTTGCTAAAGAGTTTTATACTTAGCTAATCTGAAGATGAGTATTGCTACAAAACTGGATCATGTCAAAACCAAAGCAAAAATCTACTGCAGGTAGTTGTAGTAGTTTGTAGTCATAGTTATTAAGTGTCCTGATGAAGTTTTAAACGTGATTTAAATACTCAAAATTATCCAAAATATTAATTTTCAAATATATCCCTCTGAAAAATTTAAAGACACTGCACACACACACACAAACAAATCCATTCTGCATTCAATTGTTTTTAAACATCCATTTTACATCAAGTGCTATTCTAAATTGGGTAGATACAGTAATAAACAAGAAGGGCAAAGTTCCTGTCCTCAGAGAGCTTATATTCTATAAAGGGAGACAAATCTAGTTACAGTTTGAGCACATGCTATGAAGGGAATTAACAGGTGATAAGACAGACTTAAAATACTGAATTTCTTCTTCATAAAGTCAGAAGGCAATTCTGAGCAAGTGTTATTTGAGCTAGAACCTGAAAGAGAAGGAGGCAAGTATATATAGAATAGGGAAGGCAGGAGAAAAACACCACAGACAGAGGAAGCAGCATACAAAAGGTCCTAAAGTGTGGTGCTTTAGCAGTTTAAGGAGTGGGAAGCAGGGAGCCTGGAGCACTGACCCTAGACTGATACTCGAAAATGGACCCTAAAATGTAAACAGGGTCTACAGCATGTGCAACTCTAGAAAATTGGCTTGTATTTAAACCATTTATTTTTATTTTGTTATTTCTGCAGAATTGAAGTTAGAGGTTGAAGCTCAACTGTATAAGTGATTACAAATATGGTCTTTGGATCCAAGATTGAGGTTCAAACTCTGGCTTTGGAACTTACTAGATATGTTCCCTTGGGCAAGTTGATTAGTCTTTCCAATCTTTATTTTTTTTCCCTCATCAGAGGAACAAATAATTTCAGAGGTACTGTAAGGATTAAATGGAATAGTTTAAGTAAGCATATTCATATTGTCCACCAAACAGTGAACATGTTTTTTTTTTACATAGTATCATATCCCTTTTCTAAAAAGGTTAGCCGCTATATCGAAACTAAGTTATTAACTTGATGAATAATCTATTTTTCTTGCTTTCCCTATAACAAAACCCACATTAGATAAAACGTGAAAATGCATACTGTCCTATGTAATGGAAAAAGACAAAAATGAATAGAGCTATAAAGAATATTAAGTCAGAAAACGCAGTCTTGTCTAACGTGAGTATTTAACAAGATTTGAAATATAAATAACAGCTCATTAAAGAACATTTCAGAATGTATTACTGAAAGTATTGTTTATGCATACAAAAGGGCAAATCATATTCCAGGTAGGGTTTCAATGAAATTATCTATACTTCCACAACCATATGAATAAAAATGGTGGGGGTGGGTTGGGTCCTCCCTGGTGGCGCAAGGGGTTAAGTCTCACCACTATTAAGCTATTGGCAGCCACTGTAACATGAGTTTAATATCCAGCCAGGGACTAACCCACATGGCACAGCAGACCTCTCCTGTCTTGACCGATGCTCTCTTCAGCAATGCATTTCAGTAGATCCTCCTATTCTGCTCCCCACTCTGTCTCTGGTGAATCCTCTCACCCTCTGTACCTCTGGCCTATACCCCAGTTCTTATATGCATAAATAAAAGTAAAAAAAAATGGTGGGGGTGGAATAAGACTGCAAGCATCCAAACACACCAATGGGTTTCCTACTAAGAAGATAAAAATGGCTGACTCAGGCTACCTCTAGTATTACCCCCCAAGGTTCATTGCAATGGGCACTTAGGGATTATGAAATTAAGTAACTTCTGTATAACAAACAGAAAGGCATACTCTTTCTGGCATTTGTAACTACAGAATATAAAATATCTACTGTAATTATCAACTAAAGAATATGTGTGTAAATATTTTAAACTTTAAGGTACATGTATGTATACATACATATATAAAAATACGCAAGAGATGGATAAAAATATGTATCAGAAATGCATTTGTATATATGTGTATATATATTGTGTGCACACAAATGCATTCCATACCCAAGTGAAGAATTAAAAACAATGGAATTCATACTGTGAAAGTTTCAGAAGAATTTAAAAAAGATTTTTACTTCTAAAAATATGTGTGATAATAAAACTAAGAACATCTCAGAAGGAAGATATAGAACATCTCTGTGAGATATATATACATATATTGTGTATATCTTTGTGGTGGTCAAAGAAAGGAGGAAAAAAAGGGAAACAGAAGGATTAAAAAATCCCTACATATGGAGAAAAGCTGTTCTATATTTGACTTGTTAATCAGAAAATCTTCAGCACAAGGTTGGGTTTGCCTACATATACAAGTGTTGAGGAAGACAATTTGGTAATATGTCACAAAATTTAAAATATCCGAGTGCCTTTGATATAGAAATTCCATGTCTAAGTATCATTCTGAATAATCAGATTTAAAAAGCAATACTCAAAATATTTCACAGCATGAAAAACCGGATATAGCTTAGCTTCCAATTATGCAAGAATGATCAAATAAAACTTACTTTTATATCAATTTGAAGAATTATAGAATTCTTTAAATTTGTAAAGAATATATAGTAAAATGAAAAATAGTATATTGCGATTATTTGATGGGGGGCGGAGCAACATGGCGGCGAGGAGACGCTGCGAGTAAGATCTCCCATTAAAAAAAGTGAATAGGGAGGAAAAGCAGCAGGTCCCAGTGAGAACTGGGACACTGAAGATAAACGGGTGACGCCAGCGAACTGCCCGAAGAAGAAAGTGGCCATAAAAGAGGACTAGAAGGGAGGGAAGCGCAGAACCCTGCTCCCCTCCCCCGCCCACAGAGGCGGCACTCTCCGACCAGCAGAGAGGAGGAAACAACAAACCAAAACGGCCCACAAGAACAAACAACGCAGCAAGCGGGACTGTGAGCGGAAAGGAACTATTGCAGCCAACACACCCCGTGAACGGGAGCTGAGGCGAACCCTGCAGGATCCGCTGCGGCGGTGAGCGAACGGCTCCTGGCGCCATTAGAGAAGAACAAAGACCCCCGGGAGACCCGCACACAGCCCGGGCTGCCGGTAAGCTGGCAAGGAAACGCGGCACGCTCGGGGAGCTTGAAAAGCAAGTGCAGACCTGGATCGCGGCTGCCCAGGTCCCCGCGCCTGCGACCTAGGCTTGCGGGGAGACGACCTAGGCTTGCGGGGAGACGCGCGGAGGTCCTCACTGAGGTGAAGGTCCCTCCCTGAGTGAGCAGGAACCAGGCGCCCAGGCACGGGAGCTGTGCAAAAGGCGCCATTCCCGCGCCACTGAACTGGGCTACAGCCCGCGTCCTGGAACTGAGGGCTTTGAACTGAGACCCGGGGCACGAAAATTCGGGGCGTGGGTTCTCCACGACGGTGGGGCACAAGGCAGACACAGCACCCCAAAGCTGTTGAGGTGTACCCTACCATTCCCGCTCTGTTCTCTGTCCCACGGGGTGGGGGAGGTGAAAAACAGCCCCCCAAGGACAATAGGAGAGATCTCTGGCGCCACCT